TCCAAGAATATTAGATTATTAATACAAAAATACAAAAACTATTTATAATATTAACATAACGTTATAATGAAATAAATCGGCATATACAAATATAAATTATGTCTATTTTCTAAATTAAAGAAGGAAATAATTGCCAAATTTTACAAAAAGAAAATTTATTGTAGCAGTACAAATGGCACAAAATAGAAGCTGAGGATAATGTCAAATAGGATAAATTAAGATCAATCCATTACCAAATTAACGTTATAAAGCCATTTGAATAGAATTAACATGGTAATAGAAAAAATAATAGGAAAATATCAAAATCTATAAAAATGGTACTGACTTTACAATGGAACAAGTGGAAATGCATTAAATGAACTTAATCATCAGCATTGATAGAAGTTTCATAAAAGATATTATTTCTAAAAAACAAAGGGATTTAGTGATTGGTAGTCAACAATAATTCCTGTTTGAAAAAGACTATTATAGAGCCATATACGATCAAGAGGAAGAGGTGTGTTACCTCGTTGATAGAAAGGGTAGCTTCCCAATCGTTTCGGGATCAAGTTTATAATTGTAGGTTGATCCTATGTAAATTCTGCGTAAACCAGCCGGTTCCGGTTTCGGGCGTACTGCTAGACGCAATTGTGCTACTCAGGTGCTGCTCTGCAGGCTGGCGGGCTTCATCGTCGCTCTCATGTCCCAAAGTCACGATCGCGGCGTCCCTTTTCCCTCGGCGAGCGCCGAAACGTGCGCATCTCTGCGTCGCCGGATGTTGACTCTGTCGCCGCTGCGGCGGACGTTGGTAGCCGACATTCCTAGATGGCTGTACTATCGACTTCAGTATTTAGGGATATACAATACCAATACCTCCACAAAAATCTCCTAGGACAACTTATCCTTTTTCTATTTTTTTACTATTACATAAATCATAAAGAATACCACAAGGAAAACTTCAATGTTTTTTGAAAATCATTTTCCATCGTGAATTAATCTCACATTCCGCATTCAATGAACATATTTTTATGAGACATTATTCATTGTTTTTTGTACTTATCTATATACAATATACTTTTATTACTTAAGTAAATCGTCTATAGAGTTGTAACTCTGAATAGAACTTGAGAAATACGACACTGTACAAAGTACAGTGTACATAGTACAAAAGTACATGCATACATACATATATATTTTTGTTAATATTACATAATATAGTCATATAGTACATATATGCAATTGCATACATACACATATACACGCCTTTGTGGAAAAATTATGTTAAAGGTATTACATAGGTCCTTTTAATAATATTGTTAAACAATATGTAAACATGCAACCAACGTAATTATTTTCTCGTTAATAATGTATTACGCATTAAGGTTTTGCTTATTTAATCACACAATTTGTTTCGTCCAAAAACTATTCTGAATTCATAATGTAATTCATACTCAAAATGTAGATATATTCCATTTGTTCCACCATCGCCGATTTCACATTTAAGTAAAAAGTATTCAAAAGTTAACCGAAAGATCAATAGGAAATGCAGTATCTAAAATGAATAACAAAATTAAACAAACATAGAAAGGGAGAAAAAATAATGAAGAAAGGATAATAAATTTGATACAGTAAAAAATAACATACACGTTAAAAATCATTTCTCGAGTAATATTCAATTCATGAAATTGTCCATATCTTTTTAGACATGACTTTCTATCAAGTCATACTTCAAATATTACCGCGCTTTTTAGCATTTTCAAATTCTCATGAGCAACTTTTTCTTTATTTTTCATCTGAAGCAACAAGCACATCTGTATGCAAGTGTCAAGGTCACTCAATTAAAAGATACAAATATTAAAGGTTTGAAGAAGAATTTCATCTTTGATAATTCTATTTTATAAAATAAAAATACAAATAACAAACGAACTCGATATATGTAAAAGTGCATACATAATAATGACGAATGCATTCTCATCACGTGATGTATTTGTTATTAGCACATTCAATTCTAATCGCTAATATTAAATTGTACTGTCATTACTTAAGACTTAAGTCTTAAATAATGTATATGTCTATCCCTTCTATTAAACCGAAGTAATATGTTCTTTCAAAACTACAATTTCCACGTTCATTGACGTACTAACTACATATTGTACTGCGTCACGAAAAGATGAAACAAATTATTGAAACTATAAATAATCTACAGTTTAATTCTTGTTAAGTATACATAAATATAAATAATTTTGCGCATAAGTATTGCTCATCTTAAGTTGCTCTATTATGATGTGTAATACGTAACAATTTTAAATTTAATAAATTCTTCGCTTATTCGAAATATGCAACGTTTTATTAATAACAAGCAAAGTAGCAAAACATATGAAGAGTTCGAGACTGATTGACCTATGAACTTATATTACACAATTATCT